AAAGGTGATGCTTGGCCAGGTCAACCAAACCAGCAAAGAATAATAGACATACATCGAAAAGAACAATCTAGCGCGATGAGAAGTGTTTTAACCAGCATCTAAGTGAAGAGTCAAGTCTCAAGTTACATATGACTTTGACGGGGCTGCCACCCAGGCCCCGCCCTAAATATCCAATGGATCTAAAGCAGATAACAAGAGAGAAAGTGACATTTTAAAAGAGGTGGGCTCACATATTGTCTAAATATATGTAATTTTAAAGTAACTGGATAATACTTATAATAGTGAAAAAATATATTTTTTATACTTTTAAAATAATAACTTTAGAATCCTTGGATCCTTAGACATTCATATTCGTTGTTCGTTATGCAGAAACTCACATTGCTCACTGACACATCCTCACGGGAAATGTTCATTTGAGCATCATGACCAACAAATAGGTCACTCTCTTAATAGGTAGGATAAACCATTAAGCCAAATGAGAAAACATACAAATATGGAAAAAGCCCACATTGTGATTGTTCGATCAAAACACGAAACAATCACAATGAACGCCAAAAAGAGAAGCACACATCATGAAAATGAATGAAAGGCTGCCTACATACAACATGACACACACTAACGGGATATATCAATAAAACAAACTACCTATAAAGAGGAATTACACCTGCCCATAAGTCCTAGGTGTCATTGATACACCTAAAATATATTGTCTTTATGTACACATTTTTATACATATTCTTAAGATATTGTGCTTTAATGAAAGATTTTTGTTTATTTTTCTTTCAGATACAATCAAATAGATGAACAATGGTGAAGGAGTAAAAAAAAGATCAAATTTGGAGCAAAAAAGAAGGTGTGCAATTAAACTGAGGTGCGTAAGCGCCCAGAACTGGCGCTTACACGCCAGTAAAACGGAGAAGGTCACGCCTAAGCGCCCAATACCTCACGCTTAAGCGTCAGGAGTAGTTACTTGTTGATTCAATGAATTTGGACAAATTTTTTAAGAGGTGTTTGAAGCAACCCTTGGTGAAAATGTGAGAAACAGTTAATGGACACAAAAATTCATTCAATTGACTTTTGAAAAGAGGTAACTCTTGGAAGATTCATTGAATGTGGACACATTTTAAAGAGACACCAAGACACCTTTTGGAAAATTATAAAAGAAGACTTGGATTGAAGGGAAGAAAAAACCAATAATCATCCATCATCAGAGCCATCATCCATCCATAGCCGCCACCACCGCCACTGCTACTTTTCTTTTTATTTGAAGTTGTAGTTTGTATTGTAAGTGAAGGAAGATATTCAAAAGAACTTCAAGACTTTGGTGGAAAGGATTTGAGATAAGTTTTTATCTTTGTGGCTAAATTTGGTTTTAATTTAGACTTCTTGTTTGTTTACAAGATTTCTACTTTCAAACTTAAGTGTGATTGCGTTTTCTCCATGAATTATGTGTAATTTTCTTTATCTTTTTCCTTAAAATGATAAGTGATTAAGTATTTGATGGAAGTTGCGTGAAGTATTAGTCTTTAATGGTGAAAGAAGTTGTGATGAGTATTGTCTCAGTCAACAAATGGTAAGAATCACTTGAGGCTGTATGGATGAGAATATAATTCATATGATTGAGTGCAATTAAATAAGGAAGTAGATTTTTAATGGTGTAGAATTACAGGACTTTAGAGTAACAAACTAAAACCCTTAATTTGGTTTATAGTTTTAGGTTTTGATACGAGATGTTAGCCCCAAGTGGAGGGAAAAGAGAGAACTCTAAAGTGAGAGCTATTATCTTCCCTACCTAACCCGTCTTCAAGATTATTCAAATTTTAAATTAGTCAATGTTTTTTATAATATCTCTAGTAAGGGTAAAAAAAAATATTGCTCCTATTTGACACAACACAATTTGAATACTTCCACAACAGATTTCCTATACTTGTTACTGATTCATGATAAGGAAAAAGAAATTTTCATATTAAGTACTTATTTATTTGTCTTGATCTTACAAATATCTAGTTAAATTTAGTTGTTTATTTTACTTTCAATTATAAAAAATTAGAAAAAAAATTGAATTTTCATTCCTATTATAACATCTATAGTTTGAGTAAGAATATTTTGCTTAGTAAAATTTGTTATCTAATTTCTTCTGATTTTTATTGCATATTGTAATTTTCCCTGTGGGTTCGATATTCGGTTTGAGTAAGAATATTATGCATATACTTGGTAGTATCCCATATTTAAATATAATGATTATATTCTTATTTGCTTCGAAGCCAAGTGTTTGCCTAGTTGTTGCTGGTAATCAAGTTTTTGTGCCGTTGCAGAGTATGAATTAAAAGGGAAAAAATAAGAACATAATCACATACATTGCATTAACATATAAAAGATGGGATCAAGTTTTTGGCGTCGTTAGAAAGTGAGAATTATAAGTAAGGAAAATTAAAAATATAATCGCATACATCACATAAGAATTATAAGGAAAATTAAAAATATAATCGCATACATCACATTAACAAATAAAAGTGTTAGGATCAGTCATGCAACATGCAGACACCAACAACGAGTTAGTTCGCATCAAGTAAATGAATACCTATAATAAGAATTTACACCCTGGATAGAGGGGACTTACGTCAAAGATGCCAACTAACGGGTCACCAGTTGTGCACACGCAAACACACACACACACACAGA